TGGAGAAGAGCCTTATGCTGGGAAAGATTGAGGGCAAAAGAAGAAGGGGACAACAGAGAATGAGGTGGCTGGATGGAGGCACTGGATCAGTCGGTGTGAGCTTAAATGGGCTCTGGGAGATGGAAGAGGACAGGAAGGCCTGGAGGAACGTTGTCCATGGGGTTGTGATGGGTCAGACATGACTTTGCAACTAACAATTCAAAAGGCAACATCAAAATATTGTTGGCTTTCCTATCTCTCCTGGAGTATGGTCACAATCAATTTGAACTAATGTTAAATTTCTTTTCTGGATGAGAGACAAGCACATCTGAATGACCTCTCTTCATTGTTTCAGATTTTGAAGATTCAGAATTGAACTTTAGGGGTGGGGGTGGGGAGACTTTTTTGAAACAAAAACAAATATATATATATATATATATGTTTCTCCCAACATTGACAAAACGAAATTTTTATTTTATTTTATGTCATTTTCATGCATTATTTTTTAAAGTAATTATGGTTAGAAATACTTTAGAGCACATAAACAAGTTCCACATTTTTGTAAAGTTTCTTTTCCTTGAAATGTTTACCTTTATATCCTCTCCAGGAAAGGAGGGGGGGGTGGGCAGGCTTTAAAGCATGCATTTTTAAAAATTTGCATACACGTATGTAGGTATGTACATAGACATGCAAATACATAGCCCCCACATAAAATATCTACTATCCAATGCAGCCAATAATTGGTGTTTAATAGTCCTCCGATTACAATGCGGTGTGAATTACCAGTAGAGTATTAATACTCAGGAATGAGTTAATAGTGCATAAAGATCTTCTAGTGGAACAGTGGGGGAGTTGAATATTCCTTTCTTAAGTCAGCTGTAAGTAATTACAACATGGTGTGACTCTGACTATTACTATAACAGAGCAATTGAATATGAGGAATGGATAATAGTATGGACCTAGAGGTATTTTTAGAATGTCAGCCATCAAGCAGGTGGCTTTGTTACCTGGAAAGAAGGTTTGGGAGATTGTGGGGAGGGGGAAGTTTGCCATTGTTGCAAACTCAGCCTAATGAGTTATTTAAAAATAACTTTGGAAGGCAATATCTGTGATACATAAGTAGGGATGAGGAAAAGAAATCTAAGTAAATCAATGACATAATGACACTACAGAATAATTCAAATGGACTATTTATTTCATCTGTCTGTATGCTGTCTTAAAAAAATATCCCACAACCCCAAGCCTTCAGCATTTTGTGCCAGGGAAAAAGCTGAATTCTCTAACTTGCATAAATTATGCAAATTGGGTGTATTTGTATAAGCTCTTACTTTTTGAAATTTATCCAATTTATTACCTTTTTCATAATTGAGTTTATTTTCATGGGCCATGTGAACAATAAGAAATTGTGCCGGATGCTAAATCCTTGCCTTTGAGACAGATGATTAATAAAATCAATCAAAATGATCAAATAATCCATTTATTTGATTGAGTTAAAAGAGAGTTTCCATATTTTGCAAATTTTTGCTAATACACATTTCAGGAGAAGTGCCGACAAAAGGGCATTACCTTTATTCAAATGTAATTGATTTACAGTTCAATTCTGTAAAAATCTTCTTCTAAAAATATTGACTTCTAGAATACTTACTTCCAGTAAATAGATAGAGAATCACAATGTTTCAAAGAAGATGGGGGAGTAGAAACTCCAAAATGTAAGAAACCTCTAACCTAGGTACTGCTTCTTCTTCTTTTTTTTGCCTGTATCATGATCAAAGCAATGGCGATGGTTTGTTCCTCAAAAAGAAGGAGGGCTGAGTGACTTGAAGGCTAAATATCTTTCTTCTATCTCTGCCTGTAAAAAGTGAAAAATTGGCTAGCCCTCTGACAGTTCGTAAGATTTCACCCTACGTGTCTCCAAATGTGCAAGTATTTTGCATGTGTAAAACCAAAGAGCAAACAAGCAAGAGAATAGGCCATGATGGTGAACCTATGGCATGTATGTCAGAGATGGCATGCAGAGCCGTCTTTGGGGCCACACACACGGTCACCTTCTGGTTTCCAGCACGCGGATGTGCGCTGGCCAGCTGATCTTCATGCATGTCGGAGTCCTGGAAACCTAAAGACCAGCTGGACGGCATGCACATGTGCACAGACCAACTGGTCTTCGAGTTTTTGGCCCTCCAGCGGAGGCGAAGACCAGCTGGCCACCGCATGCATGCNCTGGAGAACTCTGGGAGTTGAAGTCCACAAGTCTTAAAGTTGCCAAGTTTGGGAACCACTGTTTTAAGCTAACGTAGATTCTGTAGAAAGTTTTAAGTCAAATCTAGTGAAATTCAGGTAGCTATGATAAGGCATTTTTCTTTGCAGCCTCAAGAGACTCGTAAAAAGATAAAACTTAAGGTGAATCTAGGGAAAAATGAAAACCAGTCATAACAACTCATATAATATAATTGTCAGGTTAGAGTTAGTTGAGTAAAATATGGCCATTTAAGTATGCCTAAGGGAAATGGATTAAAACCGTGACCCGACAAATGCGCGGACGACAAAACCGCGCTGACAAAACCGCGGCGAGGACACCGCGATGTCATAAACGCGCCCACAACAACGTGCTGACAAAACCGCGCCCACAAAAGCGCGATTTAAGTTAGGGTTAGGGTTATTAGGTTGTTAGTTGTTTGTTGAAGGCACACTCTTGTCGGCGTGCTGTTGTCGGCGCGCTTCTGCACGCATTCGTTGGCGCGATTTTGACCTCGTGGTTTTCTCGCCACAGTTTCGTCGGCGCGCATTTGTTGGTGAACCAATTAAAACCATGATATTGCCCCAGTGTTCATAGTAGACATTTCTCCTTTGCCCCTTGTCAGCCTTGTTAATTCTGTACACGTTAAAGAGGCTCTGTCACTGGTCATCCCAAGAAAGAAAAAAAGGATGCTGGGGATGAAGGAATATCTGACCTTTGATTTTTCTCTCTTTTTCCCTTGATATCCCAGGGGAGCGGCCATACAAATGTCAAACCTGCGAACGGACCTTTACTTTGAAACACAGCCTGGTTCGCCATCAGCGCATCCATCAGAAGGTAAAAAGTGCCAAGAACCACGAGAAGGACAGTGATCGAGAGGACACCCGTTCGCGAGGGGAAGAAGACAGTGAGAACGAGTCTCTCCCCAGCAGCACGAACCCCATCTCGGAAAACGAGGGCGATGCCCTTGTGGGGCCCGGAAGCCATTCTCCGGTGACCAGGAGCCGCAGAGAAAACATGGCCAATGCCACCAAGGATTACTCTTGTAAGGAAGATAAGCCAGCTGGGAAAGCCTCAAGTTTAGGCCTTGCCGAGCCAAGCAAGAAGGCGCCGAAATCGACAGCGAAAGAGCAGGAGTCTCGAGGAAAAGCCGACCGGGAGAGCTCCGACTTCATTCAGGACTTGTTGGAGATCCAGAACAAGAAATCCTCCATGAGTCATATCCTTGCCTCTGCAGAGAACGCGCCTCACCTCTTGGAAGTTGAATGACAGCTATGGCTTCAGCGGCGCCCCAGCGCCCCTGATCCAGGACACGGGGTTAAAGTTGACAAGAGCAAGCCTTCCTTTGCTGCCGCGTCAACTTGCTGTGGTGAACCAAGAGTTGGGTGATGGGTGGGTGGGATCGGGGAGGACGTATGGCCGTCTGGATCCAGTGCCATAAACCCTTCAGTATAAATAATGCAAAAGACTTAACAATTATATACTGGTCTGAGTGCCTTACTACTTTATTAGGTTGTCTTTTTTGGTATCGTAGATATTTTTTAAAAGCAAATTAGATGATTTTTTTTTAAAAGAAAAAATATTTTAATTATTTGGAGAGGACCTTTTTCATTTAAGCATTAATGTTACCTTTTTTTTTAAAAATTCGGGTGTGTTCAGTTTCGTTCCTGTATATCTGTGATAGCCGCTTTTGTGTATTCTCTGAGCTGGAAACAAGGTGGAATCAGTGATGCAAAAGAAAGCCCTAAAAAACTGCAGCCAATAACTGGAAGAAAACATTTTTTTAAAAAAAAAATCCCAAGCAGAAGAAGTAGATATAAAAGGTTAACTTGTTTTCAGTTTGTCTTTTTTAATCACGAGGGAGAGTTAAAAGCAGTTCAACGTATTAATATAAATTAAGATTTTTCAAGCTTGGTTCAAGCTAAAAGCAGGAAGCCACAATTACTGTTCTCTTCATTATTTCTTCTATTTCTCCTCCTCCTCCTCCTCACACGATCATTCTAGCTACTGTCATTTTGTATAAGGCCCTTCCTTACCATTATGGACTTAAAAGAGTATACAGAAAGGGTGGCATAGTGACTTAAAAAAAAACCCTATGGAAATATGCGCCCACTGTTTATGTTTATATATGTATGTGTGTGTATACATAGGCATATATATGCATACAGTTTATGTGTGTGTGTGTATATATATATATATATTTGATTTGTGTTTCAATATATTATTGTTTTAATATTTTATAAAAGTTGTTAGTTTGCTAATCTCTGCATTCTGCAGAAACCAATGGACAATATTTGTCCACGGAAATCTACAACACAGCTTGGATTGCCTGCTTAGATATTTCTGCCTAATCCCTCACTGATGTTTCTTCTTTTGGATTTGACGCTCTTTTAATATATATATATATT